GGGAAAACACAGATTGTCTGATTTACTGATTTATTGTCTGATTAATCAAATTATTTGTGATCTACACAACAAAATTGTGTTTCTCTTCTAACTTGATTTCTTTGCTTTTAATTAATGGAATTCTGTAAAATGTAAAATCTACTAGAATTTGTTTATTAATATTAAATTAAAATGTAGGGTTTGAACCAATTTATTTTTATTTTTTTAGAAAAACTAATACATTTGGTTGTAATAATTAAAAAAAAGTTTAAAGCATCTAAGTTCAGAGGTCTAAACGTATAATTTCTTTCAGTGTTTTTTCTAAAGACTCTAAAAGTTAGTCTAAAACACACTGGAATAAAGAGACTTTTATAACCGCTGCAGTTCCTGACGTCTCTTCTCCTCTTGTGATGGCAGGTGGCAGCAGCTCTGTGGTGGTACTTTATTTCTAAAGGTGTGGAGTACCTCGACACTGTGTTCTTCATCTTACGCAAGAAGTTCAGCCAAATCAGCTTCCTGCACGTCTATCACCACTGCACCATGTTCACTCTGTGGTGGATCGGCATCAAATGGGTCGCCGGTGGACAGTGTAAGTATCAAACACATAAGCACCGTACACAGGAATGGAAAAAATGATCATTCTGTCATACTCCCCTTCAGATTGTTACAAAAACATACTGTACATGTGTATGTCTCTCTTCCTCAGCGTTCTTTGGGGCTCATATGAATGCAGCCATCCATGTCCTGATGTACTTGTATTATGGGCTGGCCGCATTCGGTCCAAAAATACAGAAATATCTGTGGTGGAAGAAGTATCTGACCATCATCCAAATGGTAAATGCTGACGTTTTACAAGCATTTGTGAAGGAAAAAAAACAAAACACGGCAAATTTGAGAACGATGTGGAATTTAAGCGTGATTCTGCAGATAGGGGAACTTTAGAAATAAATATGATTCCGGTTTTATTAAAGTACAGATTATAGTAACATTTTATTTCAAAGTATTATATCAATTATACTATATCAATTATATCAAAATGTCTACTTTATCAATTTCCAGAATTTCTCTATTTTTTGATTTTCTGCCAACCAGATAACTTGTACTTTTGTAAAAATTTGTAAAAAGTGTTTTATAAAATGTGTTGTCTTTGCACAAGATAAAATACATATTTTCCATTTATTTGGTATTTAGAGTATGCATACAATTTGTAATTTAAAAAAGACCTGCTGTCTTCAATACTGCTGTCGTTACCATCATACTGTAAAGAATTTTATGCAACAATTCAGTTTTCCCAAAAACATTTATGCAGAATAACAGTTTAAACATCAGAAATAATAATTCAATTTAACCTTAGTAGCTTTATTATATCTGACTTGTTACTAATCATTCATTCAGAAATAATATTTACCTTTACATACTCTACCATTCAAAAATTTGCGGTCAGTAAGATTTTTTAAAAGAAATTAATACTTTTATTCAGCACGGATGGATTACATTTACCAAAAATGATAATAAAGACATTTATAATGTTACAAAAAATATAGTTTCCAAATACACGCTGAACTTTCTATTCATTAAAGAATCCTGAAATAAAAAAATGTATGACAATTTGCACAAAAATATTAGGCAGCACATTTGTCTTCAGCATTGATAATGATCAGAAATGTTTCTTGAGCAGCAAATCAGCATATTAGAATGATTTCTGAAGATCATGTGACACTGAAGACTGGAGTAATGATGCTGAAAATTCAGCTGCGCATCACAGAAATAAATTACATTTTAACATATATTCACATAGAAAACATACATTGTAATAATAATTCACGATTTTACTGTTTTTTGTATTTTTGATCAAATAAATGCAGCATAGATGAGCATTAAAAACATACCGTCCCCAAAATGTTTAATGGTAGTGTATGTTGAATAAGTTTCATTTTTCCAGCTAAACCTCTGAGAGCTGATCAGTTATGTTATATTTTCTTCTGCAGATCCAGTTTCACGTCACCATCGGTCACACGGCTCTGTCGCTGTACTCCGACTGCCCGTTCCCTAAGTGGATGCACTGGTGTCTGATCGGATACGCCCTCACCTTCATCATCCTCTTTGGGAATTTCTATTATCAGACGTACCGTCGTCAGCCCCGCCGCGAGACCGCGGCCAAACCCGGCAAAGCCCTTCATAACGGAGCCTTTTACGGAGCCCTGGCCTCCAGTAACGGAAACGCCGGCAAGACGGACGAGAAACCGGCAGCGGCCGAGAGCGGCAGGAGAAAGAGGAAGGGCAGAGCGAAGCGTGATTAAAACGGCTGACAGGTTAAAGGTCAGGAGCCGTTCGCACGCCTGCGGTCAATCCCTCATGGTTACCAACAAACAGTATGACTGCAGATAGAGAGAAAAGTGAGCCTAGATGTAGAGAGACTGAACAATATCTTTCCTTACCGTCCTCCTTAAAGGCACAGTTCGCCCAAAAATCATTTACTCACCCTCAAGTGGTTCCAAACCTGTACGAGTTTCTTTCTTATGTTACGCAAAAAAGAAGATGTTTTGAAGAATGTTAGTAGCCAAACAATTGACGCTAGCCATTGACTTCCATAGTATGGAAAAAAATACTATGGAAGTAGGGCTGCGCGATAAATCGCATGCGATTATCATGCGTATCCTTGTCAGTAAAGCCGGTTCTGTGATTAGTAGTAAATCTCAATCATGTGCTTTCAGATGGAGCGGCATTTACTCCACAGAGCCGTAGTTCACTGACAAGCTACGCAAAAAAATCGCAGATGATATCATCGATACTGTACGTCGATATTATGAAATCGCGCTGCAATTATGACAGCTGTTTGTGTAGAACTACGGCTCTGTGTAGTAAATGCTGCTCCATCTGAAAGCA